GAGCACAACTCGCTCTTGACTCCACGCTCCTCCTGCCCTTGCTGGATGGACACCGCTTGTCCCAGTTCGGAGATGGGGGAGGGAAACCAAGGGAGGTTACCAGCTGTCTAAGGCTAACAGAGCCAGGAATCTTGGTCCTGCGTTCAAGCCTCTAGACGGCCTCTCAGTGGGAACCTGAAAGGCTTTGCAATGAGGAGATGACCTACCTTGTTAATCTCTTTGTGCCTTTCTTTGGTGACTATTTCTTCGAGTACTTCTCCATCTCCTTTAATAAGCCTGGAACAAAAGCACATCAACGCGGCCGGTGGAGCCGACCAGCCGGTTCGCGCCGACCGTAAGCAACACATTGCTTTGTTTCCCCAGCAGCAGAAGGTGGCAGAGGGCTGTTCCTGCCTGAGGCGTGACTGGGCTTTTCACTGCCTTTCCCCCGCACCCAGCCTCTCCTTGGGAGGTACTGTTTCACATCAGAAGAGGTCCAACAAGCTGGACTTGTTGATGGAGATGCCGGAGGCACCTTCTGTGCTGGCGACGGCCTGTTCTCAAACGGCGTCGAGAGGCTCTGCCAGCACAGACAGGCCGCAGCCTGGCATCCTGTGTACTCTCTAGGGATGCGGCAGGCTTGGCACCAGGAAGGAGGCGCAGCGCAGGCTGGGGCCAGATGCAGCTCTAACAGTCTGGCATAGGCTTGGAGCATCTCGGCAGCTTCTACTTTCTAAGCTGGGAGCAACTCCAGGCCCCGTGGTAGGACACCAGGAGCCATGTTGTGGCCAATCTTAGCCGGATTAAAACGCACAGCTCTGCTCATCAGTTCCTTGGGCATGACCCCCCCACCTGGCCGCTCCACGAGCTAAGCTCTGTCAGGCCTGACGTTCCTCAGCCTTACATGATGCTAGCAAGATGCTAATCAAGCCAATTGCACCAGCAGGCCACAGAGAAGCTGTGCTCCAAGGGGAAGGGATCTCGCATCTGCCAGTCCCACGACCAGCGGCGTTGCTGCACAGACAACAGGCGCTGGCATGGTTCTGCGCCGGCTTGAAGTTAATGGGCACTGACAGCCTCCGTTGCAAGGCAGGAGGCTGCAACTCTCAGGCCAGTCCCTCCCCACTGCAGCTGCTGGGCACCCAGAAACTGGAGATGTGCTTGGCCGTGCAGAGAACCAGGACAGGGGCAGCAAGTTTAGTAGCAGAAGCCATGGAGCAAAGCGGGCTTTGATCCCAGGGGATCTGCTCGTGCAAACCCCTCCCCCGAGCCCTGCAGCTGCCTTCTATTTTTAAGCCTGGCCTTGTCACACCCAGTTTTCTTCAGCTTGATAATTCCTGCTCGCTTGAAGAGGCAGCTTCACAAAAACTGGGTCATTTTTGCTTCCTGACTGTGATGTTTTCTTTGGCTCCTGGGCTGCAGCCGCCTGGAGCAGAGGGGCAATCTGCCTCCTCCCCCAGCTTCCTCAGTGGCCCAAGTCTGCGTTTTAGATGTGACGGGCAAGAAAGTGCCCGGGCCAGGGACTCTCGGCCAGGTTTGTTGGCTCAGACCTGTGTTTAGCTCGGGAAACAGAGCCACTCCCTGGCAGAGAAGGGAACGTGCCTTCAGCCTTGGGTAATGAGGCATGAACCAGATCTACCTGCAGTGATCGCAGCTCTGGAGCCCGGGTGCTGCACCTCTCAAGGTCTCCCAAGGCTTGGTCCTACAAGGCTCCCTGCGCTCTCTCTGTGGGAGCACGGAGCGCTCAAGGGTACGTGGGAAGTGCCTAGCCCGACAGCCTCTCCTAACAGACCCAGCCCATCTCCAAACAGCAAGCCCCTTTCCTCTCCCTCTGGCTTTGCACTTAGTCTCCGCATCTCTCCTCCTCAAGCAGAGACCAACACAGCTTACACGGCATTTCTGGCCCCGTATGCTTTAGGCCTCGAGCCGGGTTCAGCTTCTACCGTGGCAGCAGGGCTGGATGTGATGCCGCGGGGACGGCCCAGGAGCTCGCTGCAGACAGCAACTGCCCCTGGAAGCAGGTGGCGAGGGACTGGGAGACTCCCGTCACTAACACTGGGGCTCCGACTACATCTGTGTAGGCTCCCACCTTGCTACAGGAAACTCTTAAGTAGCTAATGCTGACCCCATCGGCCACCTCATCCTTTACTAAACACCCGATTGTTCCACTGGCTTCACTGAGATGAGCATTCTTGTCCCTTGTGTGGACACGGTTAACTAAGGTGGGTGGAACATTTCTCTCATCCACTGCTCCACTCCTGCCACGTGTCTGTGAACCAGCTCCACGTGCTCTATCAGAGCTTTGTGAATTTGAACCTGCCTCCCCCACTGCTCCCAGACCCCCTCCTTCCTGGGCTGCTGGTCCCCTGGGACTGTACCTTGTTCTCCCCGTTTCGGGATCCACGACCTTCCTTATGACGCTTTGCCTTGCGTCCCACTCTTCTTTCGTCATGGGCTTCATAGCCTGGATTCGGGATTTTTGCTCATCTGTCAAAACTGGAATGCAAACCTCAGTGAGAGCATTGAAGAGGAACCTGCGCTTACAGGGCCCTTTCCGCTGGAGGAAGTCGGGGTTGGGGGCCTTACAGGGGCGCTGCTTTGTGCAGCATGCTGCCCATCGCGTGGGGGACAAGTCTCATTCCCAAGAGCTGGCCACCCCAAAGAGGTTACAAGCAAACTATTCAAGCCTGCCCATGCCCCCGGCAGGGAGAGAGCCCTGTCTCCATAAGGAAACTGCAGTTGGCCCAAGGTTACAGCAGATAAGCTTCTCAAGAGCACTTGGCATTAGCACACCTCTGCTCCCAGTGATATAACACCGCTGTGTTTTCCAAAGAAGTCAGAATATCTGAACTGAGCTGAAGCCAGGCAGTTCTGGGACCCTCCAGATGAGCGACTCTGCAACACAAGCCTCATCTGATTTGCTACTTAACAGACTCCAGCAGCACTTGGATTTCCAATTTAAGGTCTGGGGTAAAACTGCTAATCAGTTTTAGGACCCTAAATTCCACTGACTGGCAGTGAGACACAGGGATGAAGGCTCAGATCCTCAAAAGGTATCCAGACACCTAACTCCCCTGGAAATCAGAGAGGAGGAAAGTGGGGTCCAGCAGACAAAGGCACTGCCTCAGAGAAGGTCCCTGCTTTTCCGTCTCTATCAAGTCTCTGAGGTGCTTTCAAAATGTTGCTTCTGATCATGGATTTCCTGCACTCCTGATTCACCCAGGAGATACAGGAGTGGGAGGACTGTGGGATCTGCACCTTAAATCAATGCCAGGTCCTGTACAAAGGATCAAGCCGCAGTCCGCAGTGAGCAGACAAAGGCAGTCCTACCTGGTGTTACCAACTTCCTTTGAGCGGAAAAAAATATACTGGGAACTATCACCTCGCCTTAACTGCCGACTCCAGAAGCTCGGTCAGTGTCTCGTGTGCGGGTACGTCCTTTCATTCTGAATTTTTAGGAAGATTACCAAGAAACCACTGATTTTGGGCCCCTATGTTTGTTCCCCAGAAAGGCATCAAGCTTGGGCGGGAAAGAGAGCAAAAGGCTTATCAGCTTTTATTGCTACAAGGATCCGCTTAATTAAAGTGTGGGAGAGATGAACGGCTTCTCTGCTCACTGACAGAGCAGGTGGAAACACAGCTATTACCTGGACCAGATTCCACCAGAGAGTCCTTCTGCCATTGCTCCAGGGAAGGGCCAGGTGCCCCTTCTGCCTTGGCTTTCTCCTCCTTAGCCCTCTCCTTGCATTTCTTTTTCAGCTTCTTCTCTTTTTTCTTCTTCCTCTTCTTGTCCTTCTGCTTCGTTCGCTTCTTCTTGCTATGCCGCCTCTTTTTCGATTTGGGTTCGCTGTCGCTTGACTCATCTGAAGAGGAGCTGGAGGAAGAGGTCTCAGAGGATGAAGATGCTGTCTCAGAGGAGGAGGTATTCGCCGCCCTCTTTTTTTTATCCTTGTCCCTCTTCTTTCTTTCTGCAACACAGCGAGAAGGGGGTTGTAGAGAGAGAGCTCCCACCAAACCTGCTGGGGAGACTGTCATGCTCTCATTCCGCGCTACCCTGCTGTACAATTTGGGTTTTGCTCCTCTTTAGATGCCTGAACAGCACAGCCGCTGTGAAATCCCATGGTGCTAATGCTTTAATGAGATTACACCAGGGTGGAGGGCAATAGGGAGAGCACAAAGGTGACAGATCAGCACACCTGATATCTTTGGGCTCTAGAGATCAGAAGATGACGGCAATGGGTGTGGAGCATGTGCCAAGGTGACTGTGGGAAGGCGCCTGTTGCTAACTGAGCTACAAGGAAGCGGCGAGTGTCCCTACCTCAGCCCTCATTGTGCATCTGCCCCAGGGCTGCTCACAGAGCCGGGTGAAAAGCCAGCACTCAATGGTGGCCATTGCGCCCACCTGCTCTTACCTTCCTTAGTGGAAGCAGAGCTGGATCTGCGGCGGTGAGACCCAGAGGCCCTTTTCCTCGTGGGGGAGGGGCTGCTTCTGCGGGAATCCTTGCTGCTCTTTCGTCCCTTCTTTTCCTTCTTCGTCTCCTGCCGGCTTCGTGAGTCACTCCGGCTCCGGGACCGTTTCCTGGACTGGCTGTGAGCCATTGCGCCGGGAGTCCTGCTTTAAAGCATTTATTTTGCTGTTGCTCGTGGTGTTAATACAGGACAGCAAAACCAAACTGATCAGGTCCCCTGAGAGCTGGGGAGACTCTCCAGAGGCATCCCCAACCCAGCAGCTCTCTGCCCACTCTAGCTGGAGCTACATGAGCCATGCTGCTTAAACCCCCAGTTGTGCTCATCTCGAAATAACTGTCAAGGCTAGGTTCACTGAAGTACATCAGACTTGCCCTACACCCGTCACTTCTTTTGTCCTGCGGTTTTAGGGATGGTTTACGTGGATGTGTTAGATCAGTGGCTAAAAAAATCGGGGTTCGCTAAGCAAGCCCTTCCCAGGAGGTCCGTAAAATAAAGCTAACAGCGCAGCACTGAGAGCTGGGAGCAGATGTGAATCTAGCGGAGGACCTTACCCCTATATCTCCACTACGCCGTTCATGAGACAACTCTCCTTTGCTGTCCAAACGGCCCTCCCTGCTTCGGGTTGGCAGGAGATGTCCTCGTCCGCCTCTGTGCCCTCCTCCTTTTAGCTGTCAGAAGTCGTTCCTGCGAGAGAGAGCAGCAGTGTTAGAATTACCACTGCACGATCCACCATTTCTTTTCGCCCTTACTCGCACAATGCAAGGGTTTAAGGTTGTTCCCAAACCCGTGCCCTCACCTAACCCTCTGCACCGTGTGAAGGACTGATGCACGTTCCTTAGCAGTGACTGGACCTCACTGCGCGATTGAAATGGTCACTGACAACGTATTTGCCATCCGCAAGGAGCGTTTCCATTCGGAGCTGAATGGAGGAGAGTCAATTACGTCATGATTTAAAATGCTGATTAGAGCCACCAGCCAAGGAAGGATTTTTAACGTCCCAGTTTGCTTCCCCGAAGGGAACCGGCACCTTGTTCCTTCAGCCCAACACCCCGGCAATGGGCGGCGGGGCCCAAGCAATCTGTGATTAGGTGCAAGCGCATTACACTCGTCGTTTTTAACAGGAAGGCAGCATCAGTGCAATTGGTACAGGGAAGCGTTCTCTCTTTGCTAACATTTCCCAGCTAGTCTGTTAATTAGCTGCCTCTCTTCCATCTGCAAGCACAAAAAGTCCAAGAGTTCATTGCAAATGAATCAGAAGCCCAGCCCGATTTCCAAAGGAAGGTTTCCGCGTGGCGCGGCGCCGGAAGTCCCGCGCGAAGGACGCGTGGAGAAGTTCAGCTCCGTCCCGTAACGGGCGACGGCAGGCAGCGATTCTGCACACGCGCGAGACGCAGCGGCCTTGGCCCTGGGTCCCGACGCAAGCTCGATCTCCGCTACGCAGCCGCGTAACCGCAGCCGGTTTTACGAGGGTTGCAGGAATAAAGCCCGCGCGTCCCTCTACTTGCCGCGGCCTCTCTCCGTTATCGCTATCTGCGACGCTGGGCAGGGCAGAGGCTCAGGCGAGGAGGCAGCGCGGCCACCGCGCGACGCTGGAGTCCGGGGCAAGCGGGTCCTGGGGAACGACCCCGTCCGCGGTGGCGCCGACGGTCACCGGATCCCAGGGGAGTTTAGGCGTCTCGCGTGCACGAGGCGTCCCGGCCTTCCAGCTTCTTCCGGACTGACTCCCCGTCTCCGAGACGAGCCCGTCGGCGTCCCCCAGGCAGAAGGGGCGAAGCGCTGCTGTCCCTCGGCCGGTGAAACAGGCTCGTCCAGGACAGTGTCGGGACGGTCCAGGAGACGTGCGCGAGGCTGGGACAGGCTGACGTCTGGCACGGATGGGGCCGGGCACTGTCCCATCCGTGCGCTGGGTCCGGTCCAACCCCCCTGGACATCCTGGCTGGCCCGACGGCTGTGGCCTCATCTCACTGGGAATCTGGTCCCGGGAGGGCCCGCATTACGCATGCGCACTGGCGCCTCGCCCCTTTCTGCCCCCCGCCCGGGCCGCAGGTAAGGGGCTCACCCGAGCGGGGCCGGACCCCGTGCCCGGGGCCGAGCGCTGCGCCCCGCCGCTGCTCCGGTGATCTCCCGACCCACTTCCGGTCCCGCGGTGTGGCGCTGGGCGGGGCCCGGCCGGAAGCGCGGGCCTGGGCACGTTGGTTCCGACCACTTTATGTGCCCCGGTGGAGCCAGGCCACGTGATCCGGGAGCTGCCAGGGGAAGGGCCTGGGATCAGAGGTGGGGGCTTGCCCTGCCCTGCCCCCTCCCAGGTCTGCAGCCCTGCAAGCCCGCCATGAAGGTGACTTGCAAACACTGAGGAGTTGAGCCCGAGCCCTGCCACTTGGAGAGCCCAGCTAGGGACTACCCCAGCCTTACACAGCTGAAGGGCAAAGGCAGGAACAGAGCCTGACCCGGCTGCCAGCCTGCGAGGAGGAGCAGGGGCTTACTCCCCCAGCCCCCCGGGCCCTGCCTGTTTAATGAGCTATTTGCAGGCTGAGTTTCGCATCCCCAGGCAGCAGCAGACAGCCTGGCAGATTTCTCTTTCATTAACTTAATTTTCTTGGGGTAATTCAAATGCAAATAAGAAGCGCAAACATTTCCGGCTGAAGGAAATTAAGAGCCCGTGATTGGTTTTCTCAATGCAGAAAACAGCGAGAAATAAGAATCCTTTCTGTTCCGAGCGTGAGGTTCAGCGTACGGACCTAATGGCGTTTTCTCTTTCCAGAATGCCAGTTTAATGAGTTTTGCAAATGAAAAAGCTCATCAGTGCTGCACGCTAATTAGACAGCAAGCCCAAAATGCTTCAGATCTGCTGGGAAGGTTTAAAATTAACGCTTTTCACGTAAACTATGACAGTGATGCTTCATCATCATTAATTATGCAAATGAGAGCGATCATACAGGGTACCATGGGAGCCACAGTAAATGAAGTGAAGAGGCCCATAATAACGACAATGGCGTATTTGTGTATTTGGGACACAGAGTTCGTTTTCCGTGGAGTCAAGCGAGGCAACCGAAAGCAGAGGGATTTGGCATCCTGAATATCAGCTTTTGGCATATGTGATCTGCAGCTTGGAATTAATGTCCTGAACTGATGGGTCCAGAGCCAGCAGGGACGTGCGATCATCTGTCTCTGCGCCATTTGCAGTGGGCCCCCAGTGCCAAATTCAGGAATTCAGATGGCTGCAGTGCCCAAGTCAGCACTCCTGCATTTGCTCTTCTCTTGGCGACATTTATAGCAGTGCTCAGCTCAGAGGGACACCCCTATGGCCCACGGAAGGGGTCACTTCTGCCCGGGCTCGCCTTCCATTAGAGCTCTTCCACTTCCAACTCTTTCGCCTTTGCAGCTGGTTCCTGCTTGTTTGGAAACAGCAGCATCTCCGAAGGGGGCTGCTCAGTGCTCTCTGCGGGGATGCGAAGCCGCAACGAGTGAAACACTTGCACTTGTAGAGCAACACCGGGGTCTGTGTTTGGCTTTTAAGGCTCAGCCTTTTGGGGCAGCTTGAACAAGCCTGACGTGTTCAGTGGAGGACGACTTGAGTGCACATACACACAGGCGGCTCTCAGATGTCAGTACTGGGTAACTGGGCTAACCACTGCCAAGGGCCAACTACTGCACTTGTGCTGGTAAAGTCTGACTCCCTGCTCTGTGCTGGGGTGGTCACTGTGGTTCGATTGGGCAGGAGCTCGCTTCAGCTGGTGCAGTCTGGCCAGTTCGGTCCTTGTCCTCTGCTACAATACAGAGCATAAATCCACTGTCTCAGGCTCGTCCCCTTCTGGGCTTCTTGTAAACCCGTCTCCAAACCCCTCAGCTTCCACCAGCTGCGGTTTCTTGTTGCACATGGGACAGAGCTGGTTGCGGATGGCAGACGATCTCATCCACACAATGAGGTTCCAGCGCTCCCCAGAGGTGATGGGGAGTGACCCGTGCATCTGCCCTCCCCGGTGAAGCAAGCCATGAGATACCACGTGCTCGATCTCAATGTACCTTGGCACTGGGCTTGGAGCCTGGGAAACAGGGGAGGCAGAAACCAGGTTACAAAAATACTCTCCTGCTGCTGACTCTCCCAGATGGTTAGAGCATCCTTTCACGGCCCCCCCCACCTTTCTCCCCAAAGCCCTTTGTTAGGCTGTAGGCAGGGAACGCTTAACCGCAATTGCAATGGACCTGCTTCTGCACTGAGAGCTGCGAGCTGTTAAACCAGTGTAGCTCAACCTTTTTGGAGTGGAGGCAGCTCTGGGAAAATGCCAACTCTTAGTTTTTACCTTTTTACCTACAGAAAAGGAATAGAGTGGCTATCCTGCTGCAAAGAACTTGGAAAGACCACAGCTTTAGATTTCTGTTTGAAATCTCTGGTTTACCTTGTGAATCACAGTTGCAAACCTAACAGTGCTGCCATTATGTGGCACCCACAACACCCTCGAAAAGATCCAAAGGCACCACAGGGTGCCCCGGCACCCTGGTTGAGCATCACCATGTTAAACTGTTTAGTACGGTTGTTTGGGGGTAGTGAACAGTGGCTACAGGGAACTCAGGCATGCAGAGTGTCAGAGCAGTATGGCCAGCACATGGAGGGTCTTGGCTGAAAGACCTAGTAGCCACAAGTGGCTCTGGCTTTAGTTTTGCATCTTGTCTGAAGGTAACTGATTTCTCCTTTCAGTCTTTTTGGAGAGTTTTCTCCACCTCCTCAAAATTAGTTGAAATGAGGATGAAGGAAGGGTTTCCCTCTCGTTTCGGACATGACAGTTAGCTGGATCATCTCTGAGTGACAGCAGTTAGCTTAACTGGCTGTGATTAGTTTCCTGCTGTGAGGAGTTCAGATGAGCGTCCTTCTGCACAGAGCACAGAATGGAGCGGTTGTGACTGAGTCCAGCCGCAGGCAAACTGGTATCAGGCAACAAGCTCGCTAAATGTTCACCCCTCCAAAGTCACAGCTCCCTACTCACTCTCTCTTAGATTAGAAACCTAAAATCAGCCCAATGAAAATTCTCCGGTTTGATCTGTGAGCACCAAACCTCTTAATAGCTCCCCTTTTAGCTCCCTCGTTCAGTAAGTTCTCAAAGCAAAGCTAATGGCTGGATCCTGCTCTACTGAGCAAGAAAGAGCTGCTCAGAAAGGGATTTTGGTACCTGCTGGAAATCTCCAAAATACAAGTTGCCCTCAGTGAATTCCTTTCCCAGGGACACGTTTAAAGTGACTTCGGCGTTGTCATAGTGGCAGCTCAAGTCCAGATCTTGGTGAAGTGCATACTTGACAACAAAGGCTTTGTGGCTGTCCAAGGAATCTCCTCCCAGGTCTGGGTACAGCAGCGCTGTGATAGGCTGCAGGTATTTCTCACGCAGAGGTGTAATGAAAGCTTCATCCAGCCCCAGCTCATTTAATAAGACCTGTATGAGAGAGAGCAAATGGGAACAGGCAGACAGTGGTCTGGTTCCTTCTGCTAGCTCCTCAGCAGTGCTGTGGAGCCTCCCCGTGCTCAGTTTTTTTCCCTGCCAACCTCCCTGCTTATTGGGAAGAGCTACAGGCCGCTGGCTGCATTCAGGCTGGGAAGCAGATGCGGGGTAGGTTTGACACTGGCATGGGTAGGATGATATACAGCCAGCTTTTATTTGGATTTTGGCCTGTCCATATTGGTTATTTAGCTCTTCCAGAGGCCCTCTTATGTGGCCAGGATTCCAGAAGGCTGCCAATCCAGCCCTTCAGCAGCACAGATTTAACATGTAAACTGCCAAGGCCCTGCAATACCAAGTCCTGTGTGTATGGAGCACTTCTCAGGGAGCTCAGAGCGACATGCCAGGAAGGGTGCATCTAGCACGGGTCGTCACTTTGCTTTCTAAAAGAAGCTCTGGGGAGAGCGGCGAGTGTGCCAGGGTACGGGAGCTTCCTGTGCCCGTGCAGAAAGGCAAGAGGATGTGGGACTTGGACCAGAAACGGCCCTGAGCAGATGGCTAAGAAAGATGAACTCTATGATGAAGCGGCTAGAGTGGAGCCATACAGCAGGACTATCAAAGCCTGTCTCCTGAAGGACGGACTCTGCCTGGACTGTGTGTGTCCCGAGTTGGTTTGCAAACTGCGTGGCTGGTAGGTGTTATGAGCCTGATGTTAAGAGGTTCTGGCTGGACTTCTCTTTTTGCAAGAAGCATGCTGTGCTCGCAGCTACAAGACGGGCAGTAGTAGATTCTACACTCAGTAACAGATCAGGTTCTAATGTAGTTTTACTAGCCAGGCTAAGCCAGTCTGCACAGGCTGGAGGGGAATGGACTGGGAAGCTTGCAAGGAAACTGGGCTGATAAGGATCACTTCTAAGGGTCCTAAGAGTACATACCCCGTAGTTATTCATCGTGTTTGGCCTGCCTTTGGGCATGTCGGACTGCTCAAAGTTCTCCAGCTCTTCAATGAAGACTCGGCAGAACTCCTTGGAGAACACGGGAAGTCGATAGATCCTCTTATCTGGCCAAGAGAAAGCAGGAATCTCTTAGTAAGTACAATCGCAGCGCAGGATGGGTGGAAGAGATGCAGAACATTCTTGCTGTAAAACTCGCCTAGCTGGACACTACCACAGTCCTACAACAGCTTCCCCGGGCTGCTTTGGTTATTTAAATAGTTATCATTGCTGCAGCAGTGGAGCATGTTTATAGCTACTACTGGACATTGGAGGGCTTTGCTTCCAGGTTTTCCAGTCTAGTGGCTACAAGGTTTTGAAAGAGGCGGTGGTGAGGAAGCATTAGCTGAAGCGGTCAATAAAAGCAACCTTCTACTTTGAGACTGACAGTGTGATGCTTAGTTTTCACTGTATATCCTGTCAACTTCTCCTTTACAGAAAGGTCCTTCTGAGCATCTGGAGAGAAGTAGAAAAACCTTGAGCTTGGTACTGAGCAATAAAGACACATCTGCTCATATGGGAGCCATACTGGGTAAAGGGAGATGGTCTGAACTGGCAATTTTAGGGAAAAGGGGTTAAAAAATCCAGTCCCTCAAACAGATATGCAAAGGCCACAGAGTGACCCTGCAGCAGAGCCAAAATGCATTGTCTTAGCCCAGTGGTAGTCACCAGGGGGATGGCACTGATGTCTGGGTACTGCCTCCCTAGAGACCCTGAGGATAAAGAGGGCAACATCCTAGTGGCCTCCGGCCAGCTCTCTGACTACAATAGCAAGGAAGTGGTTTGAAAGCAGTGCTCTTCCCTGCTGAGGCTCTGGTGTGTGGACTGTCTGTGTCACTGATGAGTGACATGGCTTTACCTGAGAAGGCCTCAAGGAGGCACAGGAGGCCTTGCAGATCTGCAGCCTGCGATGTGCAATACTTCACGGTTTCCAAGAACTCAGGGGCCAGGAACGAGTCCTCGTGTTCATGGGGAGAAGCCAAAAAACAAAATGAACGTCCACAGCTTCCTTAATGTGTTCAGAGAAGGGGCCTTGGCCTAACCACGTTACCAGCTGCAAGTGTCTAGGGCCAAAGCTAGAGAGGTGCCCTCGAAAGGCTGAAAGCAGAGAGCTATAACATGCAGCTGTGTCCTTGGCACCTGCCCACAATCCTACGGGTGGGAGTTGTTTGCCTGTCACCACAGAGAGCGCACAGGTCGCCCTGTGGGCGCTCACGACCTAGCAGATCAGTGCAAACTGTCATTTTGACTAGATTCAACATCTTGCCTTGGTTCAGGCTCTCAGCGTGATAGTGACAGGGCTGAGCTTTGAATGTTTCCCTGCAGAATGTAGCGACCTGCACCTAAATTCATCTTTCTACTGGCCTCTCTTTAGGTGCTGCGGTCGATCTGCCTGATAACACTAATGTTTCCAATGGCCATGTGAGAACAGGGCCTGAGTGTGCTCTCAGCTTTTTCTGCGTTACCTCCGACTTGACTAAAGTTGCTTTAGAATCAAGTAGGAGTAAGAGGGCAACCGTGGCCAGCGTCTCATCGGCTTTGGTAGAGATTCGTAAACATGCTCAGGGTGGGAAAGACGGTTTGCTTTCACATGAGTGTGTCCAGGGACATATAAAGGCACAGAAGAGGCTTTGCCCATCTGCAAGGTACATGCTCACGTAGTCAGTAGAGTGCAACTGCAGTATACGTTACCTGGAGGACGTACACTTCTGGATGCTTTGCTTTGTACTGCTGTGAAATGATGGCTTTCCTTTCTATGGCGTCATGACCTAATTGCTTCCTTCGCTGCACTTCTTTCTCAATCTAGGAAGAGATGACAGACTGTCTTTGTAAGAAAGCAAATGCTTTTTGTAATAACAAACCTCACTCACCAAGTCAAAGCAGCTGGCATCCACACATCATCTCTGGGTGTGCCCCTCTTTGAGTGAGGCATGTATTTCTGTGGCTTTTGTGAGTCAGTAAAGGGTGGGTAACAGGCTGGAAAAGTACAAAGGGCAAGGAGAGGTTTGAGTCAGCCTCTCATTAAGGTCCAAGGACAAATTCTAAAACAACTCTGTGGAAGAAAACAGGAACTGCAGATGTCCTGGCCCTTGGAAAAGGAGACTAAATTGCCTATGAAAGCAGTTGCCCTATGTGAGTTCTGACAAGTCTGGCCTAAGTCAAAGAATCATAGAAAGTTAGCGTTGGAAGAGACCTCAGGAGGTCACATCTAGTCCAACCCCCGTCTCAACACAGGACCAGCCCCAACTACATCATCCCAGCCAAAACTTTGTCTAACTAGGTTTTGAAAACCTCCAAGGATGGAGCTTCCATCACTTCCCTGGGTAACCTGTTCCAGTGCTTTACTACCCTCCTAGGGAGAAAATCCTTCCTAATATCTAACCTAAACTTCCCTTGCTGAAACTGGAGACTGTTTCTCCTTGTTCTTTCACCCACCACCACTGAGAACAGTCTAGATCCATCCTATTTTGAACCCCCCCCTTCAGGTAGTTGCAGACTTCTATTAAGTCCCCTCTCAGTCTCCTCTTCTCCAGACTAAGTAAGCCCAATTCTCTCAGTCTTTCCTCATTAATTATGCCCCCCTCACTTCTGTCGCCCTCCACTGGACCCTCTCCAATTTATCCTTATTCTTTCTGTAGTGGGGAACCCAAAACTGAACACAAGATTCCAGACGTGGCCTCACCAGTGCTGGAATAGGGGGAAATAATCACTTCCCTTGCCTTGCTAGCAACACACCTACCAATGCAGCCCAGGATGTCGTTAGCCTTCTTGGCAACAAGGGCACACTCCTGGCTCATATTCAGCTGATTGTCCACTGTCTCCCCCAGGTCCTTTTGTGCAGAGCCGCAGTCAGCCCCCAGCCTGTGCATGGGATTGTTCTGTCTGAAGTGCAGGACTTTGCACTTGATCTTGTTGAACCTCACAAGATTCCTTCTGGCCCAATCCTCCAATTTGTCTAGGTCCTGTCTAAGCGTGCGTTGCCCAGTGTTAAGGGTTTGGTAGCAGAGAGACGAGACTTGTAATGAAGCTCTTCTTGTGGAATGAGCTGTCACGCAAGGAGAAAGCAGCTGCTCTAGCTTAATAAACCACCTGCCGAGCTAAGTTTGGGACTCTGAAGCAAAAGGAGGAAGCGGTGAATTATCTGGAGAGCGCTCACCCCCTGTCTGACGTCCTCCATTCTCAGAGGTCTAAACCCAGGTGTACCTGGGCAGGGTACCTTCCTTCTGGAGAATCTGTACCCCTGGGCCTGCACCAACCCCAGATAAAGTCCTTTCTGGAGCGTGCTCTTGCTTCGCTAAAAGTATTGTCTCTAGCAGCAGAAGCTGCTGTTACTGAAACACACAGGCAACTTCAATATAAATTTACCCCACGGTATTTGCTTTTTTTTGTGGTCTCCTTTACCGGACATCTTTGCTGGGAGACTCAGCTTTGCTTGGCTAACTTATGCTCAGAAAGAGTTGCGCGGGTTAGGCTGATGCGTTGGTGCTTGAGGGTCCTTTCCCGTAAACAGTGCAATAACTTAGTCTGCAGACAGCAGTGCAGAAAGCACCATCGTAGAAATGGTTGCATGTCAGCGGCAGTAGTTGTCACCTGTGGGTGGCATGGGAAGAG